ATTAGAGGAAGCTCATGTTTTGGCTTTCGCAACACATTTCACACACCGTTCACCTTGTACTTCAAGTGGGTACCATCACGCAAAGTAGTTCCGTCCACTACTCGGCCAGGGACGATATAGAACAATCCGACCAGCCCGAAGAACCATAACAGATAGCCTTCCAAAGCGCAGAGGTCAATCGCCTTCGCTCCAGGCACTGCATCCAGAGCATAATATAAAACGTATATTAAAGTCGGAAGTCCAATTGTAATTCCAAGCGCTCCAGGAACACCACTGAAATCTTCGTTAGTGGTCTTGGGATTCAGCTCTCGCCCTTCTGCGACAGCTGGAGTCTTTTGTGCGGAAAAAACCTCAGATTGGTCCAACAGTGGCTCGGAGGACTCGATGACAGACATCGTACTGAAACAGAACTGGTAGATATCGATCGAGTAGACTCAATTGACTGCTGTGCTGTACTTATATAGAGGCGGGAGGCTGAGTACGACAATCAGTATTTACTCTTGATAAAGAAGTCGTATTCGTGTCCACCGACGCTCGTTGACAATTTTGCACTTTGGGTTAGGGCTGGAACTGTGCTTGGGCAACCGTATTCGGCCCGTATTCGGTCACACAAATTGATAACGCTTGCGCAGTTCCTTACAGACACAGCTTAGCTAGTATTTCGGCTTAGGCGTGATTATCTGCACAAACCGCATCCTTCATAAGAATATATTGAGTCCACATACTAGCAAACGCTAGCTCTCTACGTCACATATGAGGCGATTGCCTCGTTAGACAACGTAACAAGACGCCTTACATACCCCAGTGGCTTGTCGTTTCGCACAATTCAATGCTACTCTGTGACCCTACAGCAGACTGTGACCGTTTTTGTTCACGGCCTTGGCAAAGTATTGAGGCGGAAGTACGCCGTCCTTGCCGTCAGTTAATATAACCCCATTCTCGGACTTGTAAAACCTAATCCCATCTTCTATAGCCTTCTTTATGTCGACGTATATATACACATCAGTATTCGCCCGCATTCCACTAATGACGCCTGTTTCTCCTGGAAGACCAGCTGCCAAATGGATGTGATTCCGTTTCATCTTTGATAACCCTTGACTCTTTATAGCTTGATTCCATACTTCCATGTAGGTTCCGTGGATCGCTACTGGACACGATTCCGGGTCTGTTATTGGCTCGAGCTCGAGATCTGTGACTATGAACGAGTGTCCTTGATTGGCACGGATCCACCAACCGGTTGGATCATCTAGATTCAAGGTGTCTTGACCTTCATGTCCTCTATGCTCTAACTTAAAGCGATTCTTGGAATTCGAGTCGACAACGCGCCGAATGTCTGCGAATTTGATGCCCTTAAGCCGTGGGTGGTTCAGTAGCTGCGTGACGTTCATGTATCCGTCTTGTTGTATTGGTAGCTTCTCTTTTGCGGGTCCATGCCGAAGAATATATGATAGTGACTTGCTGAGCTTGACGTCCGGTGATTCTGGGGCACGAGGCTGACGTGTACGAGAGTGAGATATAGTGTGTCGCTCCATTGTGTGTAAAAGTATAGTATATTGTGAGATCAATATTAATGGAGTGATTGGAGTGATCCGACGAGAAAAGTGGCGATAAGAGACCCTAAGCATTCACGAATATTCTTTTGAAAAACCACTGTAATGCAAACGATTATGAGGGCACTCGGACAATTGGGACAATCTGGAAGCGGGATAACTGAAATAATAATTGATCGAGAACCAAAGATTCGCGTATTTGCGCAATTCACGAAGGACTATCAGCCGCACGACGACGTAGTCCTTTTAACTCGAGTGACACACCGAATTTTGAAGGGCGTCGTGAAGGTCGGATACAGACCTCTCAAATTCGTCTTCACATATTAACAACGTATTCATGCAACCATGCTGCAATCTGTCATGTCCTCTTCAACAGCACAAGAAGCAAAACGAACGACCGCAGTGGTTTCATTACCGTCACCGATACCGGATCTAATGACGATAACAAACAAATCGATTAATGTTTCGCTCTACAAAGGCTTTCTAGGTACGCCACTAATTTTAGATACGAATTTGCGTTCATCTATTTACAATGACGGACTTTTACAGGCGCTTCAATATCCGTAAACCAATTTGACAAATTGAATCGCTTAGGAGAAGGAAGTAGGTATTCTAGTTAGCTAGAAACCGCCGGAAGGACGAGAATAAGAGCTAACGTGACAATAGCTTACGGAGTCGTTCAGTATGTTTCGGCTAATAGCGTGTGAATAATTGGACATGTCTTATTAACTCTGTCAAGCCGTGCCAAAGATCGACGAACAAATGAAATAGTAGCATTAAAGGCGGTTCGAATCTTTGCAAACGAGAAACGCGATGGTATACCAAACACTGCGCTGCGTGAAATCTCATTACTGAAGTCGCTGCGCCACCGAAACGTTATTCGGGTTTTGGAAGTCGCAGTCGGCGAGACGCAGTTGGATGAGGTGTACATGGTGATGGAATATGCTGAACATGTGTGTATGAAACACGAACGAGTGTGAATGGCGCTGACGCCTGTGCAGGATTTGGCAGATCTAATTGACTATTCTCAAGCGAGATTTTCTGTCAGTGAGGGTATGATTTCCCATATACGCATTCCTGCAATGACTAACTTTCGGTTAGTAAAATGTCTTATGAAACAACTTTTAGAAGGACTAGAGTACATCCACAAGCGTGGAATCATCCACAGGTAGCTGACTCTGGACTGTGCGGCTTGAAAACTAAAATGCTAAGAGAAATATACCAAGGGACATAAAAATGTCGAATCTACTTCTTACAGCTCGAGGTATTTTAAAAATCGGTATGCCGTTCTAATTGAGTAATATGATGCAAAATTTCATTTACTAACATAGTTTAGCCGACTTCGGCCTCGCTCGCTCCCACACTGACCGTCCTATGACGCCCGGAGTCGTGACTATTTGGTACCGCAGCCCAGAGCTTCTCTTCGGCACTAAAAACTATACGTCTGCGGTTGACCTCTGGTCCGCAGGGTGCATTATGGGAGAGCTTACTTGTCGCAAGCCGTTATTGCCTGGTGAATCTGAGAAGCAGCAGATTGATTTAATCGTCGACCTACTTGGCGCGCCAAATGAACGGATTTGGCCTGGTTTCAGGACACTTCCCCTTGCTCGTAATTTCCGGTTACATGACCTACGACCGAATACTTTGGATAGGGTGTTACGAGGCCAGTCAAGAGCCACGATTGAGTTGGTGAACGATTTGTTGACGTATGACCCCGATAAACGGATTACTGCGAAGGAGGCATTGCGGCACGAATACTTTGAGGAGAGGCCCAAAGCTTTGGAACCGGGTTTACTTCCCACGTTCCCAGAGTTCCGCAGCTTCAGTAACGCCAGCAATCGGCCTGGTTCGAACAGACAGGAAGACAAGAGCGATGACAGTGAGGCTGAACCTTCTAACCTTGTTCACGGAGATAAACGGAAGCCGAAGGGAACCTACGCGTTCGAAATAGATGAGAATGAGCTAGTGCTTCCGCTTAGTGGTCATGATGAGGAGCGACGGAATAGAAAGAGGACGAAACGATAGATAAACGGTAATAGATATTAATTACATTGCTCCTGACACTGAGTGAGAATCGATTGGCTAAGTGATCCTTGCTATACCCATACAAAGTGCGCTTGTCATACAATTAGGGGGCAAAAATTATATTTGCCTACAGCCGTTCACCATCATACTCGCAACATATTTACAATACGGACTGAATCGTGCTCATTGGCTAACACGTATAAGTACGACGCATTGGCCTCTCAACAATAGGTCTTGAAACATTTGTCGGCAGTAACGCATACTGCTGAACAGTTTTCAAACCAACCACAATAGTCAACACCAACAACAACAGAGTGACAATCCATGATCCAGTCGCGGCGCCCCACGACGCGCCCAACTTCCAATTCTGATTCTTTAAATGCGGATCGGTCCGCAGCAAATGCACAACGGCAGCCATGGCGATGATTTGGACACACACAACGAAAAAGAGTAATAGCGAAATCATGTGCCATCCGGATTCCCGCTTCTGTCTTGAGCTGAAGATTAATGTTATGTATGAGATGACGGTAGGACCTAGGATGACCAAGGACAGCCACATCATGAAGGACGTCGTGCGCCAGATATTGCAGAACTCACGATCCCCATTGACGCATTCTAACTCCGGGAATTTGCTGCATGATTGCGTTACTCTGTGGATTCAATCAGCAAAGGTATCCTCCTCAGATCCATCTTATGGTAAACTCACGATGAACATTTCTCATGCAGACCGTAAGTTATACGGAACGGCTCGCCGTTCTCGTCTTCGGGGTAGAATCTGGCATTTAGCCAGTGAGGCGTGGCGATAGAAGCGACTGTGAGCGTGATAGAAATCGCGATAGTTAGGAATGACAAGAGGTAAAATATCAGAAGTCGATCTAGAGTTCGCATCTTACTGATCTCTATTGTGCAAATTGATACCAATCTAAAATGGCCGCAAGTGCGAACTCTGCGAGATAAGAAATTCTGCGATTTCGGTTGTCTGACGGTGATATAGGCCGTCCAGGTCAAAAAAAGAACGCGGTTTGATCTCGCGAGCATGTGCCTAACTGGCGACCGACGTCATATATCCTGATTCAAACTCCCAACTGCAGATCCCCTGAAGAACAGACGCGTCCCAAGAAAGGTTAATTACTGCAGCCAAGCAATAAGATGCCGATACGAAAATTATTCGATTTTTGTCGTCTTTTAAGTATTTAGGTCTAGGAAACGATTGTTAAAATATAATTACTAAGCATAATGTGCTCTAAGACTTATTCGAGATTTTATGTAGTGCTTATGGCGCAATTGTTTAATTGTAGGTTTATTTCTGCCTTATCTTGTGATGCATTGGTCCGTTTATAGCATATATTGAAGTGCAATGACGATTGTGTACCCTAACCCGGATCTTGTGCACAGGGAGAGCCGGGACTTAAACTTGTACATGACGGTGTTGTGGCGCAATGGTGAGCGCATCGGATTTCGGTGAAGAATGCCTTGACATCTTCCGGAGGTTGCAGGTTCGAGTCCTGTCAACATCGTGCTTCTTTTTTTATTTTTGCTGTAACTGCAGACCAAGGCATGTCAGCAATATGCTCCTTTGTTAGTCGTGGAACGTATCGAGAAGTTGCAATGAATTACGAAGCATCTGTTTCTCAATACGTACTGTCACACCACCGATTGCGCTTATTATTATTTCCAGAACGGACAAGGAAAAGAGCAGTTAGCATTGTTCGACGAGGTCATCTGGAAAACATCGGAGCAACTTCTAGTAATCATGTGAGGAGGAAGTCATTCCGCAAGCCTGACGCACCGCACCCTAACAAAGAAGGGTTGGGGGTTTAGAGCTTGCTTACCACTCGCGTGCAGCGCACTTATGCGCGACATTGATCTCCGATGGACGCGCTAGATACGATCTTGTAGAAGGACAGGGCACTATTTAGCGATATCGCTGACTGCTATCTATCTACGAGACATGCACTGCATATGCCGGACTCTATGTATCAACCATTCCAAGACATATGATGTAATAATGTCTGCGCTGTCCCGACCCTGACTGCACTCCTCCTCGAAACATTACTGCGTATTTGGCTAGGCTATCCAGATATGAATATATGTTCTGTAATATTATAGTGTCTAATGTCATCCGATTCCTCTGGATGCTTGCACATCTCATAATTGGTAGTGCACTATTGACTAGCAACCAATTGATACTTCCCGCATATCTGCGCGGGCACAAGTCAATTGCGCCACAGTTTCATACCTTTTTTGCTCCTGCTAATGGTAGGCATATCCACTATTTGCTTGTCCGCCGTTTACAACGCAAAAAGTGTCTGCAAGTAGCAGCGGATTTCTGGCTAGCTTCATCGGTACGTGTTGCCAGACCCGTTATTTTGCCAGAATAATGATGTACTCCAACGCCATCGCAGCGAACTTCCCACCCGCCAGCTTCTAAGCATCAGCAAACTCAACCTCCTCACTTCTTTTCTTGTGCGCTGCCACTCCATAGATTATTAGACCTTCATCTCGCCAGCTCATGGCCTCGGCCCCGACCGCTACCACCGCGCAGCTGCCTACTCATCCTCCTCCACGGCAGTCCCTCGCTCGCCAGCCCAGCCGATCTTTTTTTCCGTCGTTTGCTATTGCCTCTGTCTCGGTCTCCGTCCACTCGGCGTCCGCTGCGATTACCACAACACCCAATTGCGCGAACGTGACACCTGGCAACTACTGCGATCCTTCTCCCGCCCCCCAGCGTCTTCGGTATGTCATTATCGCTCGCTTTGTCCCATTGTGCGCAGCAGATGCACGTTTGATGCGCCCCGCCAATTGCGTACTCTCTACGTTTCTGAATCAAATTAAGAGCTTACACACTAGTCTCTAGGTCACTACTAGCGTCAGATATGATGGCACATCCTGGTGGGTTTCCAATCTCAAACACCGGGACGCCGCCTGCATCTATGGATGCGCCGTCGTCAATGCAACAATCCCCTTCATCCAACAGTGCTGTCCACAACCATAGACTTCCGCCTATGCTAGTCACTGGTATGCAGAGACCCTTCGCGACCCCACTACAGATGCCCGGTATGACGTCGACTTCCATCTTACCCTCCTATTCCTCGGTATCTTCTGCATCGACTTCACCGTCGACCTCCGCGTCTCGTGCTATTCCAGCAAACAACAAGACCACAACCTCTCGTGATGTGTCCGTCTCATCCAATGCATCCACATCGTCCGATTCCGCATCAACGAACGATGAAGAAGCGCTCGAAGACTACTGCAAAGGCGGATACCACCCTGTTGCCGTTGGCGAGACATTCAAGAACGGTAGATATACGATCGTTCGCAAGCTGGGCTGGGGCCATTTCTCCACGGTCTGGCTTGCCCGAGACTTTGTCACAAACCGGCACGTTGCGCTAAAGGTCGTCCGGTCCGCCTCTCACTACACTGAAACTGCCCTTGATGAAATTAAGCTGTTAGAGAAAATTGTGAGCGCAAACCCATCCCATCCCGGCCGTGCACACGTCGTGTCCTTGTTAGATTCATTCGAACACGTCGGTCCCAACGGTACGCACGTTTGCATGGTGTTTGAGGTCTTGGGAGAGAATTTGCTTGGTCTTATTCGACGATTTCACCATCGCGGCGTGCCCGTCGGACTTGTCAAGCAGATCACGAAGCAGGTGCTACTAGGTCTCGACTACTTGCACCGAGAATGCGGAATAATTCACACGGATTTGAAGCCTGAGAACGTGTTGATCGAAATCGGTGATGTGGAGGAGATTGTCAGGATAGTCGAGCAGGAAGAGGCTAATAAGCGGAAAGAGCGGGAGGAAGAACAAGCACGTCGACGACAGAATAAGGCGAGTGGTGGTGACCGTGTGGGACGACGGTCGCGACGACAGACGTTGATTACTGGGTCGCAGCCATTGCCCTCGCCTTTGGCCACGTCGTTTAATGGCGGTTCGTACTTTGATAGCTTGGCCATGTCGCCGATGAACCCGAAGATCTCGAGTTCTGTCAGCAGCAGTCACATGAATGGCGACGATGACGTTGACCTTGCCAGGAAGAAGGAGAGGGAGAAGACTGCCGCGGTCCTCGAGGACGGCATGTCGACAATCTCGCTGTCGAAAGAATCATCGAGCTCGAATGTCTCTGCAGTGTCCTCATCCTCTATGCATACGCCCCAGTTAGATGAGCTTGTTAAGGTCAAGATCGCCGATCTCGGTAATGCTTGCTGGGTCTCACACCACTTCACGAATGATATCCAGACTCGACAGTACCGTTCTCCTGAAGTTATACTAGGCGTACGTTGGGGTGCTAGCACCGACATCTGGTCAATGGCATGCATGGTGTTCGAGCTCATCACAGGTGATTATTTGTTTGACCCGCAAAACGGCAGCAAGTATTCCAAAGACGACGACCATATTGCTCAAATTATTGAGCTTCTGGGGCGCTTTCCGAGGCATCTCGCGATGGGTGGAAAATGGAGTTTGGAATTCTTCAATAGAAAGGGTGAACTGCGGAATATTCACAAGCTGCGCGCTTGGGCTCTACCGGACGTCTTGCACGATAAGTACCACCTCGACACGCTCGACTCGCAGATGGTCGCGGAGTTTATGCTCCCCATGCTCGAGCTAAATCCGGAAAAGAGAGCGGATGCCGGAGGCATGTCGAATCATGAGTGGCTTGCCGATGCTGCCGGTCTGCAGAACACGCGAATCGATCGTGAAGTTGGTGCTCAAGGCACTGGCATCGAAGGTTGGGCATCTGAAGTTCGACGGCATTAGTCGAATGATGGCATTAGATTGTTTTAGATATGCTTCGGATTTTTCTGACTGGTTTTGCTCTTCGTACATTTTGGAACGCGTCCGCTTTATGCGCGTGGATTTTGTGAATTAGGGCGTGTTGCTTGTCATTGAACCTCATCATCAGGTACGTGCATGTGTAACCACTTTATTCGGGCATATGAAGCTGATCTGTTTTAGGCTTTTGTGTGTTCAAATTTTAATCTGTCTTTACTTTGTCGAAGTAATAATGGAGTACATATTATCTCTCTTCTTATAAATAAGATTTTGCACTTCATTCTGCAGTTTATTCACGTCTTTCGTCAATCAATCACTTCATGTTTGTTCTTCAACGTCATTCTGTACCATAGCCATCAAGTTTTTCTTTGCTTTGTTTTTTCTTAATTTCTAAACTAAGTTATTTGAATTAAATGGTGTGCGTTTTGTGTCACCGAACTTTGAGGAGACTGGTGTTTCCTTACGTGGGAGAGATGGCAGTTGTATTATGTATTAGTTGCCGGTTGGTTTTGAGCAGGAGGTGCGCGCGTGTCGTTTATATAATACAAGTATGATTTTGATATTTATCAATTGTATTCGTTGAGGGAGATGGTTTGGGAGTCTGGGTTGAAACGAATGAACACGAAACCTGCTGGCTACGTCAACATGAGAGGGGTCTTATATTTACGTTTACCTGTGCGTGCGCGAAGTCATACTTCAGTCATACGTTAGTGAGACGGATTAGTTGCAGAATGTACAGCGCGGCTGATTAAAGAATACATATACTTTCTATGATCATTAATTGATATTGTTTAATATCGGTGGACCAAGTCCGCCAAATTTACGTATGCACAGAACCAAGAGCTAAACCGGACAACGCTGTGTGCTCCGTCCTAGCCGCGCGTAACGTCCCACGCAATGCTTCATGATCCAACCAATATCCACCACAACCACTGCACGATTACCCCCTCTTAGCCTCGGATTCAGTTGACGACATAAGCCGCGGCGTATCGAAACTCATGTTTAAATCGCTATCCAGCAAAAAGTCCACCCCGGCTTCATCATCCTCGAGTTTACCTCTCTCGAACACCGGATCACCCGCACCGTCGGATGCAACGTCGGCAACGCTCGGTGATACTGACGGCGCGAAGCCGTCGGAGTTGCTGATTGAGGCGTCACGAAGAAATAATATTGATTTGCTACAGGAGGTGTTGGGGATATCTGACGACGGGCGCGCGCGGCCCGGGGCTGCGGAGATCATCAATACTTCTTTTGATTCGCTGGGGAATTCGCCGTTACATGTCGCGGCGATAAATGGATCCGGTAAGTGTTGTCACAGATCAGACGCCGTGTAAAAAGACTAATTGGGACATTAGATGAATGTTTGGATATATTATTGGATGTTGAGGGCGTCGAGGTTGATCCCATAAATAGAATGGAGGGGAATACGCCGCTGCATTTCGCGGTGATGTATGCTGAGGAGGAGCCGGAGCATGCAATTGCTATAGGTATGATTTGTGTGGAATTAGCTTGGGTGGCTATTAACGGTGGCGTCGTATAGTGGAGATGCTTATCGATGCTGGCTCTGATCCAAGGTACGTGGAGTTGAGTTCTCAATGCTGCCGGCAACGATTGATTAAGACTTACTGTCTATCCAGAATACGGAATAAGCTAAAAGACAAGCCGATTGATCTTGTTTTGCCAACGAATCCCGAACTACGGAAAATACTACAAGGTGCAGAGATGGCAATAATGATGGGACC